TGTCACAGGGTTGCGGTACATAATATTTAAGTTCCTGCATCTCTCATTTACTAGTTGTTGTAGTTATACAGATATGTGAAAATGGTTTCTCTGTGTTAACAGTTCCCATCAGCCTCCCCATCAGCTCTCCTAGGTCTTCACATTTTTTCTAATCAATCTCTCTGGAAAAGACTTGTAATCTGTCCCCTTGTTTGCAGAGCACAGAACTCACCAGCTTCTGCGTACTACTGAAATATGAACATTAAATTTAAATATTTAAAGACATACCACAAACACAGAAAACAGATTTGTATGGCAACTTTTGCTTCCACCCCAATTTACAACAAAATATGGATAGCTGGGCACTTAATGCATAACAAGTATGTTTTAACACTTCAATATACAATTCATGTGAACATACACACGTAGATATCAAATCAAAATGATTAATAAGATCAATAACAATACAGACATTTTAGGCTTAAAGGATCCCACCACCACTTCAGAGAGAGTTTTAAAGCCCACCTGACATCTAACTAATCCAGAATCCCTTTGGGATTTTGCTTATTCACCGTAACACAAGTTATGAATATGAGAAGGACAGGGGAAGGGAGCACAAGCATACCAATTTTATGTCCACAGATACAATAAAGCAACACTATATGTAAGTAGTGTGAACTCCAGGACCTATAAAAGGTGACTGTTACTGATGTGTGTAAATCACTACTGTCCATGTAGATTTTGTCAACTTACCAGTTGCAATATTTCCTTAAAACAAGGGGGGGGGGGGGTATGAAGAACTGACCAATCACTTAGCCTAAAATTCCTGACATGTTATAAATCTCTCAGGAACTCAGCAGAAAAAACAGATACTCCTGCAGCCCACTGTAGCAGAGAAACTACAGAATGATCAAAGGTGCTAGGCACAGGCTAAGCAAGGTTAAAAAAGGGCAATTATGTAAATAACAATTTGGGGCACAGGTTTTCCCAATTCAAGACCGACTTAAAATGAAGAGGGAAAAAAACAACAACTTCCCAGTTGGGCAATATGTTTCAAAACTGTCCATTATGAGGTTTTCTTGCCTCTTCCTCTGAGAATCTAGTACTTGCACTTGTTGGACAAAGAAATTTAGATGGGTTATTGGATTGCCCTGAAAATGGCAAATCCTACATTCTTATGCAATTTTGAATGCAAGCCACCTGACTACAGCTCTTGCAGTAGCCCAACACAAACACAAGATCAACCACAATCCTTTGATTGTTTTATGAACTACTACCCAGCACAGTATGAAAAGGTCTCCAGAGCTGCAATAGCCTTGTTACTGATAATAAGCCTATAGAGGGGGTAAAAAATTACTAAGAGCGACTATTTTTTATTTTCACTTTGAGCAACCAACTCAAACTACTGACCCAGTCTGGAGTTCTTATGAGCTCCTGATGGGTCTTGTTGTTAAGCTCCGCTTCCAAGTTCTTAAAAGGCATGGACTTATTCACACATACAGAACTGCAGGATACTTTTGAAAGAACCCATTATTTCTTGCTCTCAAACATAACAGAACCAAGTCCCACTTAACAGAGTTTCAAGGAGCAAAACTTAAATTTTGTTCTAAACGACTTAACAAGAGGCAGGTGCTCTTTTATTCAGAGTAAATCTAAATACATTAATACATCAAGATATTCCTTTTGAAATTTTAAGTGAAGTGAGTTTTTATGAACTTCTTTGGCTCAGCATACTCAAAAGGTTTTATGGAAAATATTGTAATAACTGGATGGGCATTTACCTTAGAAAAAGAAGGTATTTTGTTCTCTCTTGGAGCATGACTTGTAATATATTTCCTTTTCTCTTCTGATCTGTGTATCTTTACTTCTTCTTCTCCCTTTGCAGCTCTCCATTCTTCCTGCCTACTAAAAAAGAAAAATTGAAGACATATTAATGTTAGATTTAGGGCAAAGAGCTATAATTGGATCTCTAGGTGAAGGAAAATGGTAAACATTTACCACATTCTTTATACATTATTTTTTCTACTTCTAGCAGGGATCCAGAGGCACAGACAAACTTCCTGAACACAATCAGGTCATAAATAGTTATTTTGTTTCATACCACATGCCCCCAGATATGACCCACACATTGTTTTTGGAAGGCAGAAGAACACAGAGTCATGGCTGACTACGTGACAAGAATAAGTCCACCTGGAAATACAGTGTGTCCAGGAAATGTGGCATGCTAGGAGACAGCACAGGTGAGGTAGGAGGAACTTATGGATGTGATAGTACAGGAACATGGCTAGGCCCCAGACCCTTGCAAGGGCAGCAGCAAGACTGGTAGTTCTTCATTGTAAATAGTTGTATTCTTGATAGGAACTTACATAAAGAGCGTTTCTTCCACACCACAAGTTGCATCAAGATACTACAGATGGCATGCAGCATCTCACTTGCCCAGAGATAGCTCACCTGCTGCTTCAAGCACAAGCCACAGTACTAAGCCAATAGCTACTGTAGCTGTAAGAGGGGGAATACAAGACTCCACCCTCTTCTGCTTCCTAAGGCCACCTTGGCAGCCAGGCATCTTTGCAGCTGTTAAAACAAAATGTGACGGCTTCCATCTCTGCTTCTATTTCAGCAAAGAAAAAATAGCTTTCATATTTAAGACACGTGCCCCAATTCTGAAGGGTTGGGTGCAGGGAGCATGTGTGGTATATGAGTAAATATGATAGTTAGCTTTGTCATCGTGGTTACTCTAAAGTTGAATTTTGTTCCTAAAAAAAGTTATCTGACTTACTAACATTGTACTTATTTTGGCATCCAGCCCCTAAACTGTAATTCTGAGTTAAGAAACAAATTCTTTTGGATGAAACTCTGTAAAAGTAGTTTTTTTCTTGGGTCTTTGCAACCAACTTCAAGACCCAGAATATCAAGTTGGAATATATCCTGGAAGCTTGTGTCTTTAACTCAAGCACAGTTGTTCGTGGCTGGAAGCCATGTCAGTTTCATAGTAGCTAGGGTCAGGAGAGACCTGAAAAGATCATCTAGCCTGACCCCCTGCCACAGGCAGGAACGAATGTTGGGTTCACAAGACCCCAGACAGGTGATCATCCAACCTCCTCTTGAATTTGCCCAAGGCAGAGGCGAGGACCACTTCCATGGGAAGCTGGTTCCAGATTTTGGCCACGCTAACTGTAAAAAATTGCTTTCTAATCTCTAACCTAAACCCGTTTTCCATCAGCTTATTACCACTGTTCCTCGTCACCCCAGATGGTGCTGGGGAGAAAAGGGCTATACCTATTTGCTGTTGATCTCCCCTGATGAGTTTGTAGGCAACCACCAGGTCCCCCCTCAGCCTCCTCTTGCCAAGGCTGAACAGGTTCAGGTCCCTCAGTCTCTCCTCATAGGGCCTGTCCTGCTGCCTTCTCACCAAGTGGGTGGCCCTCCT